AACAAACTGTGCAATTACTTTAGCCAATTATATCATGGCAATACCCTCACTATAAAGAGACAACTGGCTCCAAAAGATAATCATCCTAAAGAATGTTAATTACAGCGGACAACAGACATCGCCCTAAAAAGCCACACAGCAAGATCCAGGAGGCTTTCCATTAGAGATACAACACACAGTTGACTTGCCTGAGAGCGTGAGGGTGGGAGGCACTGTTGGGCTTGTAAACAGGCATAATTGATCACTCGCGTAGCGTAGGGTAAATAAAGAGTGCCAGCGAGCTCTCTACGGGGCCTTTTTGTTGTTCTTCAGACATCAAAAACTGGCTTCGGTCGAGAAGAAGCCACACGGCCAGCTACCAGCAGCCACTTACACGTCATTTATATTCCTTCTTGACTATTTATATTCTTTGTGCCTTTTCACCTGCTGTTCTTCCCCTCTCACCAATGGAGCCAATCAAAAAGCACTTAAGAGGTGTGGAGGTTAAATCTGACACAGAAAAACCCCCGGTTATAATCTTATAAAGGTTTAATGATATTTCCAAATATCACTAGAGCACTGAGATCACTGATATTAGTCAATGATAATCTGCAGTGTCATAGACAATAGATGGTGTGTGTAAAAATTGCAGTTAGCATAATTTGAGCTTGTGTGTGGTTTTTTTCCCTCACAATTTTCATTATTTTGTGCCAGAGTTTAAGTAGCCTGTCATTGTACAGATGAATAAGGTCAGGACCCCAAATCAGTTACAGAGAGCCAAAAAAGTAACATTCAACTGTAAAAATGCCTTTTATGCAATGTGTTTTGGAAATGCAACAAAGAAATGATGGAAGAAATTATAAATCAGGTCAACTACTATATAGAAAATGATTCTTATTCCTGAACATATTAGCCTCAGCTCATGGTTATACATCCATATGTGGCTGCATGAAATGCCCTACGTGACAGGGCCTGTTGCAAAACACATCCGCCCTGGACAATCTTTCTTCACCCAACACAGCAATGGGACATTCAGCCTCATTGGCCATTCAGCAGCCCATCTCAGCGGTAAGCCTCAGCCTCAGCATGCTAACGAACGCAGGCAGCTAATTCGATTGTCTGTGGAATGGGGTCCTTTTGGACCCCCAAAAGGTCACCACAAGGTGGAAAGGTGTTTGCTGTGCGTAGATCCACCTGAGGGCCTGAAACTAGCACACATTCTGTTACAGGGGTGGGAGATCAGCTATGCAACATTAAGTAAGCACGGATATTACGCCATTTTCCACTCAGGAGCACATGCATGGGTAATTAGTTATTGATTACAGCCTGTAACATTTACAAGAGTGAGGGCCTTTGGGATAGTAAGCCACTCAAAGGCTAAAAGTGCTCCGAACTTGTCGTGTGTGTGTCAAGGACAGACCAACTTCTGCTTCGGCAGATATAATGGAGCCAGAGGATGATGTGTGTGCAGCTGCTCCTCTTGACATGGAAGACTGAGAGCTACAGGACCACATTTCATAATATTCAGTGTCATGTAGCCATTGTTGCCTGAAGAGAAGTTGGCCCAAATCTTTAAAGCAGGAGAAAATATGTCAGTTTATTCATCCATCCATCAGTCTTCTAACAAATTATCCTGCTGAGGATGTGGGGGGGGGGGGGACTTATGCATTATAGGGCACAAGGCTGGGGTACACCCTAGCTAGAATGCTAGTCCACTGTAGACCACATACACAAAGTCATACACTAAGGGCAAGTTGCAAGTATTCAAGACCATTTTAACAAATGGGACACAAGATCCCTTGTCTAGTTCCACTGTTCCACTCTGACATCCTACTAAGCCAAATGGACAGCATTGCTACAGCACACGCCCAATGGGAGCTGTCATACAGAAAGCCTCCATGGACACAGCGCGCCGGTGTGGATATGTCAAGAGGGCCCCTAAATAGGGAAACACACAGGGACAGAGGATTGAATGGAGAGAGATAGATAGAGAGAGAGAGAGAGAGAGCGAGAGAGAGAGAGAGAGAGAGCTCTGCACTGTCTATGTAAAAGAAAGGCAGTACTGGCCTCTTTATCCATCAGGAAGAAGAAGAAAATGCATTAGAAATTCCACACACAGACTAATGTTTATAGTCTAAAGTTTTACTTAAGCTACTTAATACTTTAATACTGAGTGCCTGTAATAAGAGTAATAGTAATAATAGTGGCTAGGATGTCTGACCTATGCTGCTGAGTGCCGTCTAAGGGGGGAGGTATTTATGGCAATACCCATCTGTGATAAAATGACATAATGTGGTAAATGCCTCTTTATAACATTATAAAATAAGATAAGTACATATTATTTTCTGGAATTGTAAGGAAGAGTCTGCGCTGTTTGCACTACATTGTAATGGATCTATGAAATTAAGGCAGACAAAAGGCTCCAGGAGCACTTAGGGTTAAAGGTAAAAATCTTCTCCCTCTGTATACGAGAAAAGGCACATTGGCCACAAACACTACCGTAGACTGAATTAGCCAAAAGGCATCGGGCAGAACACTGGTGTGGTCAGGCAGGCTCCTAACAGATGGATCTCAGACATGCTTAAAAAACAAAGTGAGGCAAAAGCAAAAGGACTGAACCAAATGACACTGAAGACAAGCGAGCACAGGCATCTCATCCCATTAGGATCCATCCTTCACCTAAATCCACATACAGTTTATTCACTTTCTTTCAGAGGTATAATTCCAGAGGGCGGCTGATCCTGCAGTGTTTGATTACATTTTGGCCATTCTGACAGTGCCCTCTGTGAGTCTTACAAGCAAGATCCTGCAATTACGCCCTTCTCTGGCCACACCCACACCAGGGTGTGCAGTTAGTATCAAATAAGCCTCTCGTATCAGAGGATGCTGGCAAGAGATTGGCTGGTTATCCTCTTCCATATCTTCCCCATATTTATCAAGTTTAATAAGAGTGGCCATTACCCAAGAAATTATCGCAGATGATGCCTCTTCCCACTCCAAAGAAGAGTTAATGACAAGCTGTGAAAAGAGGATCTGAATAGCAAGCAGCAGGCTCCCCTTAACTGACACGTTTGTTTGCCTTTGACTAATAGATGTAAGTACTCTCCAAGTGATGAGGTCACTTAGACAAACATGGCTACCGAGGATGTGACACACATAACCACAGCCATACCTGCCCTTTAAATCTGCCTGCCTGTGTAAATACTAAAATGGTGGCACTAGAATACAGCAACACACCTACCTTCATAATCTTATTACCTAGTTCTTTAACTGATATCTTCTTCAAAGTATCTCAAAGTACACAAACAGTATCCCACAGATACCGGTGGAGAGGTCACAAGCACATCAGGTCTATTGCTTTGCGTAAAGAAGAAGGGTTTAGGTTCAGGTTCCTAACCTCAACATCGTCTGTTGCCTGTACCACAGATCCACTGACTGCCAGTCAAGAAACCTGTAGCAGGAACAATGGCATCTGTGTCAGGCTGGCTTTGAGGACGCCGCTTGTGCAGTTTCCTCCCAGACTGAGGATTAAGATGTATCGTTGCCCAGAGCCAAGCACATAGAAAAGGTCCTTACTGTTTGTTACATGTGCTCACTGACATCTTGTACAGAAATCCCAAAGTGAAAAAAACACATGCAAGCACACCAATGACATAATTTTCTGACTTAAAGTACACTCTGTCCCTCTTACAATTAGATGCATTATACTCTTCTAGCTGATGTTTCTAACGAGCCCCTCCTCATTCAAGAAAATTGCTGCCACATAATGACTCTGCAAGGGGTATCTCTATTTGACACAAAAGCCTGTGTGATAGACAGTCCCCTTCGGTGGAATACTTTTTTATTTTGTACTATAGGCCCAAAGTGAGTGAGGATTTAGACAAATGGAAGTTACTATTACATGGTAACAGAAATATATAGTTACCTCAGGTTATTATTCTTGTTTTATTAGAAACATAAACCTCAATGACAAAACAACTGTTGCATAATATAAATCACATTATGGAAATGCTGGGTTGCAATTTCCGCTAATAACAGAGATATACTGTATACTGAAACAATTTGCAACAAGCATCCTCAGTTTGAAATATTTTGATGGATCCATTGTGTCTGTTGTTAATATGCAGTTTAACAAGTACTGCGGGACTCTAATCAAAGACATGTCTGGTGTAAATTGAATCTACTTTTACTTGCCACTTGCTTTTTCATTTAGCCTGTATTGCATGTAAGAAATCAAACGAGCAGCCTATTACAGCAACTTTGTGTAGTAGATTGTGAGCTGGATGGACTGCTCCATTCTATGCCAATACACACCATACTGATGTTTACACCTCACATGTGTACGTGCCTCAGAGTGGCATTTGACATTTTCTTAAAAAGCTTTCTGGTCTATATTTGTTCCACGTATCAGTAAGATGATGTCATTATTTTTCATACCATGACTAGTAGCTGCTTGACAAAGGGCCGCAAGGCATGGCAGAGGGTGCTGAAGACCAGCAAACACAAATTTGTCTCGTATTTATAGACTTATAGTACTTATTTCAAGCTATGGTCAGCTGTGAAACCTCCAAGTAAGAATTACATTTTATCATGTACACATGACAAAAATGAACTTAGAACCCTAACATAAAAAACTGCTTCAGTAATATGTAACACGGGCCTGTTTATTGTTTAAGTAAAGCTGAATACCATTTTGTTTCTGAAAACTACTTGCTGTAGTGTAACACTAAAACTGTGAAATACATGCATTACAGCATTTTTCACAGCAGTCTAAAAAAATCAAATGGCAAAAGACTATTTCTTTTGATTATTTGTAATTATGATTACTTGAAGCAGTTAACCCCTTATTGAGGTAGCCGCATAATTACATATATTTACCAGGTCTTCTCAGTAGTTTAAATTGTATGAACCTCATTCTTCTGTAACTACAGTGTTCCAGTGAGCGTCCACAGAAGACATATGAACTGTCCACGCGGGTGACTGACATGCTGTGTATGCCCAACAGGGCTCTGCTCACGTACCTTAATTACGTCCTCATTGGTGGAGCTGCAGCCGATGGGCTCGTCCAGCTCACGCACAGTGCCGTCCTCCTCCACTGTGACCACCCTCACTGGCACTGCCACCCGTCTGCCCGTCAAAATGGCCGTGTTCAGGATCTCTGTGTCCTGAAGATGAGAGCAAGGAGAACAGCTACACATCACTGTATACCTACAGTACATAAACCATATAAGAAAAGGACAACATATTAAAACATATTGACAGTATTATTTAACATATTTTTTTTCTTTGTAATACGCATGGATTTTTAATTTTTAAAAAAACGACAAACGTAACCAGTAGCCCCATTAATATTTAAACTCCCCCTCTTCATCCTTAACAGATCTTCATCCTTTATCCCAGAGATTTTCAGAAAAGAATGAACAAAATGTAATATATTCCACATATCTAACATACTGTAATTGCAAGTCCAAAACATGGAAATAGAATGCAGCTCCATCTTAGCACACTACACTACATGTTAATGCCCTCCGAGTCAAAAAGTTAATCACAAAAATATCACAATATCCTCGAAGAATGTGGGTAAAAAGCCAGACTAAATTGACATTTTAACTTCATGAAATGCCTCATAAATGGTCTGTGAATGGGGGCCATCACGCTTGACCCTTAACTTCATGGCGATAATGAGGCTTTGGGAAAGACGGAGGTTGTAAGATGAGTGAGCCAAGAGGGGAGGGGGTGCGGAGATGTCTGGTGGGTGGGTTGAAGCAGGGGGGGGGTCTCTTTGCTCTAATTCATCCTGACCTTTCTTTAATGAGCGGGCTGCTGAAACGAGACCTCACACTTCTGAGACACAACCCTCTGCTCCCGCTTGGCACCAAAATCACAGAGAGTGCCGCCTTATCCTAGTGTGATCCTCGCTGGTGCTGGAACTCTGAGGGACCCTGAGCTCTTCTTGCAAGAGGGGAACAGTAGGCAGCAGGACAAAGCCGAATGGGCAAGAGAGAACCTGTTCTACCCAAAGGAAATCCCTCTAAATTTCTTCTTCAGTTAAATGATCTGGACCAATAAACGGATGAACTGGTTTCTGGTACCAGCAGATTAGGATAGAAAGTGTCTGTGTCTCACGTCCGTAACATTATTTGAACATCTATGACTTTCAGGATCAGAATCCATCCGGTGCTCTGTTGGGCACCACTAGCGGGACCTTAAAAGTACAGCCCTCAACTAATGGCCTTGAAGCTCAGACACTGCTCTAAAGAGCGGGGAGAATCAACACAGCCACTAGTTTGGGAACTGGGCGAAACAAGAAACAATCTTCTCAGTTCCCAGGGTTGGTGGCAGAGCAGATGAGACCATGGCAGCTTTTTAGTATGGTGAGGATTGTCTTAGTCAAAAAGCAAATTTCAAAATTGTAGTTAAGAAGAAAAAGAAACTAGTAATAAGAAAAAAAGCACATTCCTGGAGTCAATGTTCAAAAAGTATAGAGTGACCCAGGGCAATAACAAGCTTTAGATGTCAATTATGATACAAGAAAGACACTCGGCTTAATGTCTATTTAAAATCCCATGCTACACACTTAAAGTGGGAATTATTTCTTATCAACTCTGAAATGCGATTGAATGAAACAAATGAGAATTTGCATTATGATATAATGAAAATTTTCATGTATAAACATTTTTAATGTGACATGTTTTACTTCTTTTTGTAATCATACAAATCTGTCTCAAATCATTTGTCTCTAAAAATATTGCAACAAAAATTATCCCCTGGAATTCATTTATTACAAATGTTATAAAGAATAAATAATCCAGTGTTTCCCAACCTTTTTTCTGCCACAGTAGGTAATTATCCCAAGGCGCACCATTTATTAACATATACTACTAGCTGGCTCTTAGCAATATCATGTATAATATTACCTGTTGGTTCAGGATCAAGTATACTTTCCAAAATTTTCCTTTTCAAAAATTTATCCACAATCTACACGGCAGTTTGCAAATTGTGAAACATATGTACATAAACGGGTGTCAATTGTAGGGCGGTTTAATTCTTGGCTGTATTTGATTATGTGACAAGTGCACTTGGCACACCGGATGAAGAATGCTGGTATAAGCTCCATGTGCCCCACACAGTAGGTATGGAAAAAGGAATGATTAGCTTGAAACTATATAAATGAAGACAAAATTTTTAGACAATGAAAACCTATAGAATCAACAAGCGAAACAATCAAAATAAAAACATCAAAGGGCATGGAAAAAAGCAAGAGAATAAAGCATGAGACCAATTCAAGCTGATATTTTTCAGATAGACAAAACTGATACCCCAGATTTGTGTTAGTGACAAAAAAAATGAAGCCATAGATGAATGCAGTTCAGGAAAATATGTCACACCAACAGGTGTACAGTACTGTACATAAAGGATGCACAAACTTCTCACCTAGAAACGGAAATAAGAGGCAAATTTCATAGACACATTATTGAATAATGAAAATGAACATCCATGACCTTGTAATCCTTTTATAAAGATTTGGTTAACATCTTTCACTTGCACAAAGATCTATTTGAGCTTGTCCCATGGAATTGTTAAGTGGCCTGTCAGCGGAAATGCAGCCTGGAGTCTTCAAATGCAGAAGTGTGTCTTTTGGGACATGGGATTTTATGTAATATCACTATGTAGGCTATGATATACACAGCATCAGCTGTCCTGAGGAAGCTGGCCAACCACTAGCAATGTTTCCTTTCACCACAATGAATCACCTCTTTCTGGATGAGGATGCTCACATGTAAAGTGATATCAATTAGAACAGATTCATTATTTGAATGTCTGTACATAGATCTGTCTGAATACATACAGTGCCAGTCAAAAGTCTGGACACACCTGCTTTTGCCTCTATTCTAGCTACAGTATGAAATTCATCTTATAGTAAAAGGCCTGAAGGCAATAAAATAATACATATCAAATATTACAAATACAAAGGATCAACATCTAAAATTTTTCTCAAATTTTAGATTCTTCAAAACAGGCCCCTTTGGCTTTGATTATAAGAGTGCAGTCTCTTCTTTCAAGTAGCTTCCAGACGTAGCCACCTGGAAGGCTCCTCTAACAATCCTGAAGAAGTTTCCACGATTTCTGGGAACAAGTTGGCCACCTTGCGCTTACTCTTTGATCCAAAACACCCCGAAGCACCACTGTATGCTTTAGGTCGGGGGGTTGTGGGGGCCAGGTCATCTGTTGCAGCACTCCAGCTCTTTCTGTGTTCACAAGATTACATCACAGTACTTACATATATGTAATGTAAAACTACTCTTATCTAGACTGTACCCAGCAAAGTTTGACCACATTAATATTAAGTATATACCTAAATGAATACCGCACTGAGAACATCAAAAAGTGTGTTAAGTAACTTGTTTTATGGATGCAAATTAAAAACAAGATAATACAAGATGTTTATGGAGACCCTAACCCCACCTTTCCTCCCTTTTTTTTTTGAGGGGGAAAAAATAATGAGACTTTGATAATTAAATAGCGTGATGTTTGAACTTATAAAACTCTTGACCATTACGAAATATTTGTATCATGTGTTTGATGCAGGTAGGAGTCCCCTCACGCACGCGCATTTCCGCGCCTGTACACACACGCTCCCACTGTCTCCCTTTATCTCGTTTGTAGGTAGGCAGAGAAAAAAATGCACACACTCCTATTATCCTGCATATGGCTTTAAAATTTTTGACTTCCACGATGATCTACCGATTTAACGAAGGATAAACAACTCAAGCACCGATGTCACTTTCAAAAACATTTCATTCAAAAATGTCCATACATGCCAGATTTGTGACTTCATGCATTCTGTTTGTATTCCTCCACTGCGGGTTTTAGATCATGAACAAGTTGAGAACTGAGCTGCCTTAAATTGTGCCGGATGCAGTTTTGGTCACACGGACCAAAGCGGTATGGAATACAGAAAAAGGCAACCCGGAAAAAGCAAAGATTTCTCACAGCAATCTTTCAAATAGCAAACAATGTAAGTAGATGTAAATTTTAGATAATCTATACTAAATCTATGTTGGATGGAATTGTCAACAATTTTCAAAATTTTCCCACATCTCTGATAGGCTAATTTTTCTTACTGTAACAAAAAATGCCTTCATCAGGTAAAAATTTATGAATGTGTCATCATGTAATATGTACTGTAACATTACAGTATACTGGGACTCAGTAAATTTAAACTTGCAACAAACTGTAGAGAAAGCCATTGCTGGGTGATTGGCAATTCCATATCAGACACACTGTAACATTGGACGTATGTTAAATATGTGACAAATATGTATGTATGTCAATAGTATATCAAAATGTTTAGTATATTCAATCACGCCAAATGCCTCATCAAGCATGACTGGATAAGTTGAAGAGCTGAGACCTTTGACTCACAGCATGCCCCCCCCCCCACCCACTTCAAAAATTTATTATTGGGTGGGAACGGGGCAATCTCTTAAGCATGCCCATGTGCAACTTTTTTTTTTTTTTTTACGAATGTCAAGTTTTTGTACAAGTACTGTATTGCCTCCCCGGCAAAGAATAAAGTACAAGCATTTTTTTAATACAAAAATGAGTCCCCTGGTTCATAAATTAAGCAATTGTTTTTTGTTTGTATGGAGATGAGTATAGAATTGCATATGAATTATTGCTCATATGATGAATTCTTAATAAGTGTATGTAATGAATTGTCACAGACAGTCTGCTGCAGTTGGAGTTGCCCTGCATCACTGGGTCTCATTCTTCCCTGCCTTCAAATCATACCATACCTGGCCTGTATGTTTCTGAGTCTGTCTCTCCTGTAGCAGCCTATTTGCCCCATGGTTGACCTCAAATTGTTCTTTGTGGAAATCCTACCTCAAGTAAAGGGATTTCTGCAATTGTATCCCGTCTCTGTGGACCTTGTTCATGACAATTTGATTCAAGCACATGCATTTGAGATGTATCTTTATAAGTAATATTTCTGGGTTTTTTGTTATTTATTTTGCTAATATAACTTTTAAATATCTTTACCTTAAAGTAGATTTATGCTTATCACTACTTTTTGAAGAGAGTAAATCTGTTCCCTTTGAAAGTAACTACTTCAACGTAAGAGGTGTACTGTAAGTGATTGGTAATTCTGGATGACTGGAAG